CTGTTACAGATTGTGGTTGACATTGCTGTCGATGTTGCCAATATCTCAATCCCTGACAGTTCAAGGAGTGGGTGAGCCATAATTTCAAGGTCCTTTCTGTCTCCTCGAGATCCAAAATAAAACTGTTCCAGATAAAACTCATTCCCTATCAATGCTTTTAGTTGCCCCGAGGATGAACAGCAGGTTTCAGTCTTCTGGGTTGACTGTCTGGAATTAAAATAATTAAACAAATCACAGTATATCTGAAGTGTAAGTATGCTGTTGAGTCGTTTTACTCAAAGCACACCAGTTTCTAAACCAGAAGCAGTCTGGTTAATGTAACTGTCCGACTTTGACTTCCCAGGCTGAATGCCATTTATTCTTGGGCCAGCAGCATTTGCTTTTCATACCACTCTGACCTGGCTTGACCTGCACATCTGGATCTGTAGCGAGAAGCTGCAAATAGGCTGCCAGCGAGTCCTCTCTGGAATTTCTTGTTTTCGCTGAGTACTCTTTCAGCAACTTGTCATTACAACCTACTGTGTAGGCATCTGGGAAGTTCACACTGCTCTGTCACTGCAGTCTCTGAGCAGAGAGCTGTGTGCCACTGAGGGTCACTGGCCTTCTGTGCTGCTCACAGGATGGAGCCAAGGTTATCAAGACTTCCTGAAAAGCCCACACTTTGAACACGTTTAGGGCAGATCTATGTGAAACAATGCTGTGTCTCACAGGGATACACCAGACCTTCCCATAGGAATGTAGTATCCTTTAGCTGGGTGCTCTACCTCCACAAGGAACAGCTTTTTGGAGTGTGTCTGTGCACCAGATTGTTTTGACATGAGTCTTTTTTAGAAGCCCCCTAGTTCAAAAAGGAAGGGTCTGATTTATATAGGTGATCTCATTGGATATCTTCATTTCCCTCTGTTCGGTGTGGGTGGGTTGTCCTGGCTGCTCCACTTAGTGTGGGGCATTTGGCCTTTAGTGGGATTGACAGGTTTTTTTAAATCCTAAAATTGACACTGAGTACCATTTATAAGTGGTACAGGAAGGGGAAGTGAAGGTCCTTTTGTGGGGAAAGAAATTAGATGCACATGCTGCAAAATTGATTCTAGATGATGCACTAACTAGATATTACAGTACATCTGTAACTGTGAGTCTGCCTTTAACAGGAAAACCAGAAGTATGGCAGACTATCTTATGCAGGAAGAATAATCATGAAAGCCCTTAAATTTCTGCTCTGTAAAGCCTTTCCATCATCTTAGTGTCTGAGAGTGGTTACAGCTTGCTTATTTTTGCTTATTATTTATGCCTTGCGTGTATCGCTTCAAGCGTCTTTGGGCACAAGTTAGCTCCTGTCTCGGGTCAGCTTTAGGCAAAGGGAAATGAGGCAGATATCTGGAGTAGCAAAGTCCCACCTTGGAACAGGAGAGAGAGAGAGAGACACAGACTGAGACCCTGCAGTCATCGGAGCAGGGGCCGTGGCTCCGTGCCCAGCTCCCTGAGACGTGATCCTCCACTCGTAGCTCAGGGCAGTGAGTCTGCATGATCTCGCTGGCCCCCATGAACAGATGGCCCTGGCCTTATGCCAGTATGTATGACCGGGCTCTTGCACCTGCCCTCGTCACACTCCCTGCGGCTGTCTAGGGCTTGGAGAAGTCATCCATGTGCCAGGCATCTGTGGGGGAGACACCTAAAGCTAAGCTAATTTCTTGTACCACCACCTGAAGGCATCAGTACTGAGTTACCTGTCTCGGCAAGGGCAAGCACAAGCTGTCGGCTCTGGTGGGAGCAGGAACAGAGCAGGAGCACTGTGGTTTCCTACTGCAGAGGCTGGAGCACTCCCTCTCGCAGTGCTGAGCCATGCAGAGAAGGTGGTGTCTTAGAGGGGCAGCCCTGATCCCTTCAGACACCAGCATGTTACTGGCCCAGAGGGGCAAAATCACTTTGCCTTCATCTTCAGGGAGTTGATACCTGTTTTTACCAGCGCTGCAGAGAAACTGTGTGCAGTGCTCGATCCTTTTTGTCCCTCACGAGGCAGGACAGCAGATGTGGCACACTAGAAGGCAGCAGTGCTGCTTGGACCAGGCAGGAGGAGCAGGGGAAGAATGAGTTGCAGAAGGAGACCCCCTCAGAGAACAGGGACTACAAGTGAAGAGGGTCTATGTTGGGATTAGAGGCTGGCAAAGGCTGAAAGAGTTCAGAGTCTGAAGTCAAGAGAGTGCTCTAGTTTAGGTTCTCAGAGCATTAGACATGACTTCATGTCAGCATGTCTCATTACCAAACAGGAAGGTATTAGAATTAAATCAGCCGTGAATTATATATATTTAACACATACATATATATATGCATATAGATATTATACATATACCTTTATACTGGGGAAATAAAATGTCCACATGTTTTCTCCTGTAGCTGCTACTCTGAAACATGGACAAACTCTGTCTCTTCTCTCACACCTCTCACTTGGATCCATGCAAAATGCAGACTGTGCTATTGTCCCTTCTGCATCACATTCCACTGCAGCCTTTTCTCCACTGAGATCCTGTAAAAGCGAGGAACTCATGCTTTATTGTCTCGCTTTTGTCTCTCTTTGTTGTCTCTCTTTTTATTGTTTCTCTCCATCTCTTTCTCCAGGAAAGAAGAGCCCAGACCTCGGGGAATATGATCCCCTCACTCAGGCTGACAGTGATGAAAGTGAAGATGACCTGGTACTCAATATCCAAAAGAATGGGGGGGTCAAGAATGGGAAGAGCCCCCCTGAGGAGGTGCTGGACCCTGACTCTGATGTGGAGGTTGGGATGACAAAGCAGCACACGTCAGAGAGAGCGCCTGAGGGTTATCCTGCAGAGACGGCTGGGAGTTTGGAGCAGAAGGCTACTCCCTCCCTCATGCCATACCTGCGCACAGCGATCTTTTTGCTCACTGTGGTGATCTCGATGATTCTTGTGTTGGTGTGCGCATTTCTAATTCCCTGTCCCCCTAGAGACTTGCATAACACCTGGAACCGCGACCTAGGTCAGGGAGCAGGTGAGAAAGCCCCAGGAACGGCATCTGGCACGGGGGAGGTGGCAGCTCCCAGGCTGGGCATCGGCGGGAGAGACCTATCTGGGAGAGCCAGGTCGGAGCAGAGGCCCTTCCTCACCACTGCAGATGCTCCGAGGTAATAGACAGGCAACTGTGTCCTGCTCACTCTTCAAGCTGAGGCCTGTGAAATCTGGCATCAGTAGATAACAGTGCCAGAAAGTCTTGTTTCGGTCAACACCAAAAAAAATTTTGATTTCCCCCATTCTGCCTTTTTGTCTGGATGGTGCATTCTATTCCAGATGGAGATGGCCCAGCCCACTTTAAAACATAGCACCTCCCTCTCTACATCCTGGATTTCACCAGCACCTCCACACTGAAGTGTGTGGATGTGTTCGGCAAGAGAGAGAGAAAAGTCTTCATGTCTCCTAACTGGCTTAACTAACCTTATTTCTTTTGTCGTCTTGTCCTGCTTGAATCTGTAAATCAACATTCGGGATCTTTTGTCATCCTATACGGGCCACTGGTAACATTTCTAAAGTATCTCCCATTCTGACTTCTGCAGTAAAGTAACAGTGGTTTGTGAAATAATTTCTGCCAGGTCTAGATATGTCTCTCCCTCCTTGCTTTCTGCCCTGGCTTTCAAATCTAAGCCTTTCGTAACATATGTGGCTCCAACATCATCTCAGAAAGTGAAGTGGGAAGCAGAAATCTTCTTCTGTTAGCTCCTCCATTTTTCCCTTTCCTTTCTCTGACCCAGATGCTACATTTCTGCCTTTCCATGCAATGAAAGATCTTGCCGTGGTATGAGCTGCATGGCATTGATGGTTCCCTAGTATACTCTGTGAGGCTTGGCTGTCCATGAGTCTTTTCTGGGCCAGCCCTGTTCTCCCAGTGTGGAAAATGGGCTGGGTGGCCTTTTTGACAAGTGCAGTGATTCTCTGTGACTGTTGCAGGTGGTGTGTTATCCCCTCTGGAGCTGTGTGATGTGAACGGCGATGGGCTCCCTGACATTCTCATTGTCTTCACTGCTTTGATGAATGCTAGCGTCATGGGTAAGCACTGTAGCTCCTTTCCATTCCTCTTTCTGTATATGTCAGTATGGACCTTTGCATGTTTGTCTTACGCATGGGAACAGTTCCTGCCACTGCAAATCCATTGCATTGCTTTTTTCAGAGTTCCTTAAAATGGCTGGTGTACTGTGCCTGTGCTTTGTCATGCTGCTTATCATTTTCATTGCAAGCTTGTGCTCCCATAGCCATTGAGTCAATGTCATCTGTTTCCCCTTATCTCATCTTGGGGCAAGTCCATCTCTTTGTCCTGTATTTGTGCACACTTGGTTTAGGGGCAGGCAAAAAACAATTAGAAAGCACTGATCTACAAATAGCAATTGGAAATAAGGTGGGGGTTTTCCCCCCTTGTTATCTCTCACAGCCCTTCCCAAAGGAGCTCAGTCTAACTACCTCCATTTTACAGGCACGGAGATGGAAGCACAGAAAAGGGAAGTGGCGTGACAAAGGTCACAAATGAGATTCAGTGGTAGAGTCTCAACTCTTCCCTGATCTGTGGTCCAGTGTCCTGGTCATTACCAAGGGTAGTTGGCAACAGGAACAGTGATGGCAGAGCTGACTGTTGAGCGCACTGGTTCTTCTGAACTGGCCAGTTGCTTGCCAACAGGGAGCGTTAGGGATTTTTTTTAGAGCAGCTATAGGTTGGTATTGTAGGAAACACCCTCACCTTGCTGCCTTTTCCTCCAGGTCACTCCATATACTTTCCACGCTCCAAATCATTGTTAATTCACAGATAATAGACTCACTGATGGTGGGGAAGCTACTGTGCCTGGCTGTTGAGCAGTTATTGCCCTTTTTTCTCCTCCTGGCTGCTTTTGCTTTCTCTGTTAACCCTCACAACCCTCAGGTAACAGCAGCAGCCTGCTGATACTTTCCACCGTTATACAGGGGCTGCCAAGTCCAGTGGCATGTTATTGCACTGGGCTTCTGAAGTTCTGGAGGTTCCCAGCTGCTTGCTGTACTGTGTCTGCCCAGCCTGGCATCACCTGAGATTATGTGAATCTATTCAGTCTCAGAGATAGTTTCAGGGAACAAGCATACATTGCACAGCCTGAAGAGAACTCTTGTCGGAGCAAAATGCCTTGGCTCTTCAAAGAGCAGGGTAATAAAAATATAGTCAGAAGATAAGGAAAACATTATAGTTAGAAGATAGGAAAAAAAGAGGGAGATACTGTTGATGTAAAGGCTGCACCCATTCAGTTTGTAGAAGTTGTCCTTGTGTTCTGTATTTTGCCATTGCATTGTATTTATCTTTCATCGCAGACACGTGGACAGTTCTCAGCATGCTCTGAATGGAACTGATCATACGTAGCTGCATCCTGGGCTATAGCTATGCTGGAAGACAAAAAGCAGCCACTAAAGCAGGTGTAAGCACATCACAATCCTAAATTCACATAGCTGGACATCAGACCTCCTGTAGCTTGTGCTCAGAGCATTCACACAGTATCCAGTAGAGATAAGCTTGGGATAGGTACCTGATGGAGTAAGATGTGATGTTGTTAGCTGGTTCTCCAGCTTGTATGCACAACAGCTGTGAACTGCATTCAGGAGTTTGTTGTTCTTGGTCCTTGGCCAAGCCAATGAAGAGAACTTGGGCTGGAGCAACCCCTTAGCATAAACCAGATGATTTTCAGTTTGAGAAGAGAGTGAGTTTGACGTAGAGAGTGAGCTCAGACTTGTTTTTAGCCTGTGGCCCGGATATGCCCTTTGTGTAGTCAGGTCACGTGTTTTGCCAGTAAGACAGAAGTCGACTGGGACTCTTGTTATCTTGAAATGTATAGGAGTTAATCTCAAATTGTGATATGAGCATAGCAGGTGGAGATTACAGTATCCGCAATTATACTGGGGGCAGGCTGAGCTAGAAGTTGCTCAGATTTGGAATCACAGCCAACAGGCAATTGAAACAGCATAGAGCACCTTTTCTCACAATTATTTTGTGCTAACCAGTGAATTAGGAAAAATCCCCTGCGTTGATTGCATTCAATCTGTTTTTCACAACAATAAAACTAACTTGGAAAATGAAGGAAAAAGTTCTCAGATTGCCAATCATCTGCTGCTGCCCCAGAATTACAGAGAACTCGGGACTTTCACATGAGGTGGCATCTGCCTTGGGAATCACTTAAGGTTTCCCCTCAGTGTCTTGAGGGAGAGGGGATCAGAATGATCAGTCTGGTTTGACAGCAGTATGTTTTACACCAGCAAGTCAGCACAGTTGAGCAAGTTGTCCCCAGGATCTTCATTCCTGTGTCCCCAGCTGACCACATTTCTTGCTGTGAGCTCAGGTTCAACCTCCATGATTGTCTGTGCTGTTGGCTGACAGCCCAACTTGTCTGGAGATCGCTGTTAGGCTCTGCAGGCAGAGAGACTCAGCCTCGGGGTGGGTTTTTACCTTTGTTTTCAGGCAGTGCGGATGTGGCTGGCTTAAGCCACTCAGCTCCAGAAGCTACAGCTGGAACTCAAGTGCAAAGACCAAAGGCAGCATGGACATAGCCTCTGATGCCAAGGGATTTCACTCACTCTCTCCTGCTTCTTCCAGGTGTTTCTAGGCCCTCTGTAACTGTGGTGGCCCTTTCTGGTATGAATGGCAGCACCCTGTGGTCAATCCAGCTTCCAGAGGAGACTCGGAGTGTACAGTGCAAAGGCCTGTCACTGGGGGCACCCACAGAGCCCGTCTGCCTTGTTACAGGAACATCGAAATTCCTCAGCCTTCTCAGTGCCTCCACAGGTAGAGTCAACTACCAGCATATTAGAAGTGTGCTACTGCTTTTCTCTTTTCTTTAAAGGACTGATAAACATGAATGACTCAGTGCTGGCACTTCATGGTGGCTGTTATCTAGTGACACGCAGGAAAGGGTCAAAGCACTAATGAGTTTCTAGTTACACAGGGTAAGAGAGAATCCAAACCATTGCTGCTTTGTGGCAGCATCTTCATCCTACCATTTCCGAACATTTCAAAGTGTTAATCTAATCCTGTAGCATCACCATGGCAAAAAGGATATGTAAGGTCTGTTCTCATCAGCATTGAGCTGTTAGTACAACTCAGCACCTACCTAACAGCACTGAAAAGCTGAACACCATTCTTGAAGAAGTTATGTAAGGACATGTGCTACAGCCAGTAAAATTCCCAGAGAAATTAGGCCCATAGAAGAATTGATTAGATGTGAATGAATATTGCATTTTTAATCACTTGATCATGTCCACTTCCATTCTCTGATTGCTGTTTGTTCTACCACGTTAATTCACTGGCAGAAATATTCATAGGTAGGTATAGGGATGTTTTTCGAATCAGAACAGAGAATGGAGAGATACAAGAAACCTTGGGTTTAAGTTAATGAGCAGTGGCCAGTTAATGAGCAGTGGCACTTAACCTTTCAAATGCTTTTAGGGACCAGCTTACTTACACCGTGTTTGCATGGTCAGGACCACAAACTGTTTCCTTTGGCAGCAGTAGGTGTGTTATTAATGTGCACAAGTGTTTGCACGTCTGGCCGTTGGTTTCCTTTGTCATGCAGGAGCAAACTCTATCCTAAACAGCAGCAGCAGAAAAGCATTTTTAAACTCTGATTGAAAAAGCAGAAGTGTTGGCAAAAGAATCATGGAAAAGTAAAGGCATTGAATTTCATTTTGCCTTTTTTGGGTGTTTATTTGCCAATTCACAAATCAGGTTTTACTGAGTTTCCAGCTGAGTTCATGCTGGACTGCTGAACCATTTGACATCACGTCTGCTAACATGCTTTCACCCTGAGGTGGAATAAGCATGCTATGCTGGAGTGGCTATTTGCTGCTGGGAATTTAACTGAGACACAGATTTGCACTTTGAATATCAGAAGTGCCCATCTGTTCCCTTTCCTGGCATCTACCTACAGGCTTTACTGCTGGCTGAGGAAAACAACTGCTGTCCTGCAGAGCAGCACTCTCATTTAGGTTCTCCTTCCAAGAGTGAACCTCAAATATTCTCTGCTGTTTCAGGAATTGTTCTGGGCTCAGGTCTTTCTAGAGAGATATAAAGAAGGAAGCACAGCAGGACTTGAGGCATGACACTGCAGCTTGCCCCAGTTTGTAGGCTTGTCTTTCCTCTTCTCAGAGAGTGGGGGAAACAACTTATCTTGCTCCTTCCTTCAAGAAGGTTTTGTGGAACCCTCTGGGGATGCCCACTGGTTCCCCAAGTGTTGCAGGTCTTTTCATCCTATTCTTCCCACAGGCAAGACCATCTGGACACTGAACTCCATCCACCTTTCAAGTGGGATCCTGGCTGCACCAGCTGCAACTCTTCCGGATGTAGATGGAGATGGGATTAGGGATATTGTTGTTCTGGCTCTCAAAGAGACACAGGTACAGTATATCCCTGCTCAAGGTTTGAAAGGACCTTGACTTCTAGAGGAGAACAGGAAGCTTGATGTGGAAAGGCTATAACAGGAGCTACAGGAGTCCTTAATTTTCATTCCCTTAGATTTCCCCAGAAACCACCCTTTTTCTTTCAGTAGGTCAGAGCAGTGAGATCAAGGTATAATGACACTACCTGCATTTCTTGTCAGCTGGAAATGAACACAAGGGTCATTATTTACCCCTGGCTGAGACCTGAGAATTATCTGTTTCTGTTCAGTGAAGGCTTGGTTTGAAGTGAGTGTTTAGCAGCAGTGTAGGGAGCCATGTTGAGGTAGATCTCTGGAGAAAGGAGCATTCAGCTTATCCAAAAGAAATACTTGTGTGATTCTTTCAGATGCAGATTTCCTCTATGCTCATCCCTCCCCACAATTCTAGCATTAATGTTGTTAGAGGACTTCAGGTTTTTGAAGTCCCTTCCATCTTTGATGCATTTGCAGTCAAGAGAAAAGCACGAATGTAAGACTCCTAGAAAGCCAGACTAAGCCAAGAGAAAGAGACCACTAGCTAGACCTTGCTGTGGGGGAAAAGAGCAATGTTGCTTCATGCTGTGGAGGCCGGGGAAGATTCTGAGAGCACAAGTGCATGAAAGCACTGCTAAAATTCTCTACATCTCTCCCTTGGCAGCCTGATGTGTTTTTCATCTTGGTGTCAGGAAAGACTGGGACTGCTTTGGGTGGGCCTGTGAAGTACAGCACCAACGGAGAGGGGAAAGTGATTGGCCCCCAAGTCCACATCACCAGCCGTGGAGCCATCTACATCCTGTTTGGTTTTGGTAAGATGCACCTTGCCTCTTCAGCACTTCACCTTGCTGAGAAAACATTCATTTTACATAAAGTGGCCCAGAGCATCCCTGGGATATTTCTACCATGCCTTCTGCTGTAAAAGCTGGGAGTAGAGGACATGGGAATGAGTCTCACTGCCATGGTGTGGAAAAGTGCAGGAGCACCAATACCTGCTAGTCTGGAATACCTTGGAGTTTCCCAAAGGCCAGGAAAGTGCCAGCTCTGAGCATTTCTTTGCCTTCTACCACATCTGCAGTGGTCCCAAGGACCCTGTGTGCTACTAGGGAGTTAACTTTTGCAGGCAGGACTCTTCATCTTTATTCTTCTTGGCAGGTAATGTACAAGCAGTTGCCCTGAGGGATATCTTTACCCAAGCCAGAAACCGGGACAGCTTTCCTGCAATGCTGCAGCAGGAGGAGCCGGAGTGGGAAAAGCGCAGATCTGTCAACCTGTCGGAGCTCATTGACATTTACAGGTAGGAGATGGACTTGTCATCTTGCTTCTGTTGGGAGAGGAATGGGAGGGTAGGCACCTCTTAGTGCTCCTAGAGATGGTCCCTTCAACTTCAATGCTGTCCTTCTTTTCATTGTCCAGTTGATAACAGTACTCTGGGGAACCCATTGTTTCCTCCCTGTCCTGTGGTGTCCTAGCAAAAGAAGTGCAGACTATGATAAAAGGGAGTCCTTTGCTTCTGTTCGTCCTTGTTCCTTTCTTTCACCCCCTATACATACCTGGAGTGGGGGGGTGGGGGGAAAGGTGTTCCCAACTAATGGAGTCCCTTTAGGAAGTCCAGTCTGTGTACAGCATTGCAATCCTGGATTTCTCAGCTCTTTCTCTACTGCCAAATTGTGGTTAAGGTCAGCCTGGATAGCAATAAAGGAAGGAAACAAATGTGAACCTCCACATGCCATGCTTTTTATAGTAACTCAAGATGTTCAGAAGACCCCACACCTGAATTTAGTGCACTTATATGAGGAACCCCCAAAGGAAGCTTAGCTCCATCACTGGGGAAAAGATGTGCTTCTCCAAGAATAGTTCAGATCTTAGGTAGGATGAATTGCCATCAGGCAATGCCTGTGGACAGGTAGCTGGTGCTGAGATGTGCAGTTACAAGCCTAGGAATCTCCTCTCTGCTTTCCATTTGTCAGTGGGGGTGTTGACTTCCTGCAGACGATGAAAACACCTGACACAAACTGCAGCAACCTGCTCATCACAACCAAAGAGGGCTTGATCCTACTGCGGGGACAGGACCTGGAGCCCCACTGGACCCTGGAACTGCAGAACATCAGCAGGTTACATACTGGGAACATTTTTCTGTCCTGTTTCTTCATGTACTGTTTCCTGCCTTTCACTTGTAAGCACATGTGGTCCTTAGAAAGCAATTGAGAAGAATTCTCAAAGTCTGCAGAGAAATCTAAGAACTGGAGGTGTGCAGTTGCATCGCTGAGGAAGTGAGGAGGGCAGGGGCAGAGGGAGCAAGGAGCGGAAGGCTGGAAACCTGAGCTGTGTGCTTGTGAGTGATCACAAATAAAGGCCTTGCTTCAGGTACCCAACATTGATGTCATGGGAGCGTCATGCCGTTGGAATTCAAAGGAGTACTGGTGTGTGATTCAGCCCATCTGCTGTCCAGGGCTGCCCCTTGCCAGCTCAGTGGAGAGGAGCAGTTGCATTAGTGATGTTATTTAAAGAAGGTGTCTGAGTATGGCCTACACATCTTAATGTTCCTTGAAAGTTGAAAATGAGCACTCTGATGGCAGTCAGCACACCATCTATACTAAATGTAAATCTTAAAATAATACTGCTCATCCTCTGATTTCACACATGGAAATTAAATAATTTGCCAGATCTCGTGGGTTGATAATGACCAGCAATTTCAGCTTGCCCAGTATTAAATATTTGCAAAGGGCAGTTGGGCACAGTTGAGGGAGATTATGTAGGAAACAAATTGCTTGCTCTGCTATCTAGAGGAAAGAAAGCAGCTGTCCATTCAGTGTTACTTGACTGTCAAGAGCATCTATAGGAAGAAGGCATTGGAACTTCGTTAAGCAAAAAAAAATCAGTGTTCAGTGAGGTTTGATATTCAGATAATGTCCATATTCTTGAGGGCTGATGGGTGACATAAGCAATCGCTTTAGGAATGGCTTATGGTTAGTTGATCTTGCTGTTGGGAAAGGAGATGGACTAAAAGTGTTTTGAGCCCAGAGTCTGCAGACTTCTGGATGTTTCTGGGGTCTAATTTAAAGGGTAAGTGTGTACTGACTAAGCAAAGCCAGTTCATAGATGCCGTAAAATCAGTTATACACAGGAAATTTCTAAATGGACCCGTAAATGAATTGGAAAATTTCTATGGGTTTAAATCAAGAAGGATTGAAAACTGCTTTATTTGCTCCATTCACAGCGGCACAGTATGATAGAGATTGGAAGGCACCTCTGGAGATTGCCTAGTCCAACCTACCTGCTCAAGCAGGCTCAGCTAGAGTAAGTTACTCAGGGCTGTGTGCTGTCATGTTTTAAATATCTCCAAGGATGGAGACTGCACAGCCTCTCTGGGCAACTAGTATTCCAGGTTGCTGCACTCCAGCCCTGTTTTTTCTGGTTCTGTGACCTCCCAAGGGACAGGGTACACTGCATATACAGGAGCTGCCGGGTAGGCATTGAAAAACAATGAAAGCAATTCTTGTTCAAGGCCACTGTGCTAAAGTCCTGGGACTGCCTGTTTTTTCGGAGTTAAGAGAGATGAAATCTGGTAGGCTGAATATATTTTGGACAAGCATTTATTTAAGAAGGTTGTTTGGGGTTTTTTTTAGGACCTAGAGAAGTTTGTGTAAGCAACATAGGCTGGGGGACAAATTCAGCTCAGGGGTGTCACCACAATGTCAAACAGACCGAAACCCAGTTCCTCGTCAGTCAAAGCTTAGAGAGCCAGCTGAGAGTTCCCTTTTCCTGGGTAAACCTGCCCCAAGCACACTGCTCCAGCCAGGCAGACTGAGACCAGCCCTTTGGGAACAATCTCCAAGAAAAACAGCCTGGCTGCTGCAGATGTGCTGCATTTCCAGATAGCTTTTGACAAGATCCCTGGAAAACCATAAAGGAGAATCAGTAGTCATAAAACAAGGGCGAAGTTCAGAGACCATGAAATTGAGTAAGCAGTTGAAAATTGTGTTGTAAATGGGTGTTTCAGATGAGAGAGGATTAATAGCAGGTTGCTGTGGGGATTACTGTTGGGCAGGAATAATTACTAGCCTTCTGGTTCATTTGAGAAAGTGCCCAAGGGATTTTTCAGTTGATTGGTAGCATCTAAAATACATATGTCTGTCTGTATTCAGTTTGTGGGATCTGCCGCTAACTATAACCCATAAGGGACACGAGAAGAGGTACCTCAGGAGATGTTTTAAGTTTGTGCCCATAGAACTGCTTGCTACTTCCTTTTGCCAGTGGAGAGCTTTCAAGCTATAGGCATGTCCCATGATACTGTATTGAAAGCATTGGTTCTGGTTGCCCAAGGTGTCTGTAAAGCTAATGTCATTGTTTGATGTAGTAAGTATAAATAGTCAAACCACTGCTGTACTGTGGCATTGCTGTTCAGGAGCCATTCTGGTATGCATGTTTTAAAGGGGAAGCTGGAAAAAATTGGAGAAAAGGGCTAGAAAAAATGCTTTAGCATGGAAGATTTAAGTCAGTGGGTTAATATGATCAAAGAGAAGCCTGAGAGGTGAGTTCATAAGTGTGCGTAAGTAATGGGAGCTAACAGGCATTTTAATCTTGCCATAGCAAGAACAAGTGCCTTGGAGCAAAAGCCATTCATGTTCAAGGAAATGAAAATGCAGACATGTTTCTTTAGGTGAGATTAATCATTAGAACTGACTGTCATGAGAAGCGATTAATTCATCTCATCTTTGTATTTCCTTAGCAAGCCTCATGGCTGGTAGACCTAGATAAAATCAGCCTACTGATACTTGGTTAATTGAGTGAAATACAGCAATCTGTCATAAACAAGATGAGGGAGGACATATTCTGATGATCCTACTTTGCCATAAAATCTCTGATTCTGTGAATGTTTGAGGAATCCTTTGTGCTTATTTAGAACCTTGTGTGTAGGTGTGGTGAATTTAAGGAAGACAGAGATAAGACTCAGGAAGCCAAAGGCAAGCAAGATGGTTACAAAACAGTTATAATGAGAGATATTCAAGTAATAGTGTTATGTCACCCAGAAGGGAGAGGATGAGAGGGGACTTCATTTAAACTGCTGAAGGTTATAAAAAGGCTTATAAAACTGCCAGCAGTAAGAAAACAAAGAATCATGGGCTGACATTAATGGTGAATATATTAAGAGCCATTTCACACAGCTAAGGCAGCCTGGGAAATACACTTTCGGCAGGAGGTCAAATCTGCCGATGCATTTTGAAAGGGCTGGGTAATTTTTTATGACCATAGCAAAACTGTACAGGTTTTCATGCTAAGGAAAAAATAGTACAAAGTCATGTCACAGGGTGATAAACATGTCTACCCAGCCCAGCAAGGGATGCCACCCACACAGACAACTGAAGAATGGCTAACAAGCACCATGGGCTGCTTGATCATTTTTCATTTTTCTGATCCACCAACAAATGGTTCCTGACAATCAGAACAGTTCTGAGTGGATGAAAGATCTTACTTAGCATGGCAAATCCTGCCTTTTTAAGAGGCAGAATGGAGGATGAAAGCAACTGTGCTGCCTCCATCTGAAATCCCTGTTTTTCTGCCGTGGGGCTGAGTGTTTCTTTTTCCAAATTTGCAGCCAGCCTGTACCAGGTTACTTCAGTGCTGACCAAACTCTGGACTTCATGCTGCAAGCACAGACTGGAGATGGGAACAAAAAGGTAAAGCAAGCGAAGACAAGGGGGACAGTGGCAGCATAGAAATGAGAGAGCTTGGGTAGAAAGGGACAATCATTCCCTGCTCCTCACTCTTACCATTTCTGTGGCTAATACTTATCACTGTGTGGCCATAGACACGAAAGGGAACAGCACAGGCCATGCCACTGCAAGGGGGCTCTCTGTACAGCCACACCTGGACACCCATTAATGCTAGTTTTCTCCCCTCCCTTGAGGTGGTGGTCATAGACGGCAAATCCGGCCTCCCTGTTTGGAACCAGGAACTCCCATGGCAGAAACAACAACTCGATGCACTGTCAGTCATGACTTTGGACAAGAAGTCTGTTTTTCTCTTCTGGGCTGATGAAGCACAGCCTGTGTTACAAAATTTGGTGAGCAAGCATCCTTTCTTCACTTTGAGGTTTCTCTGTGAGGCAAATATAGTCTCTGTCTTTTATTCCTAATATAATCAAACTTGAAACCTGCCATATAAGAAGGCTATCGGGGACATCTTTTCCTCTTGCTTTGTCACTCTGACTTCTCTGAGCCTGAACACAAGAGGTTTTGTGTGCAAATTCTTCACCAGAAAGCTTTGTTTCAGAAAGTTTGTGTCCACAAAACCAAAACTTTCTACGTGAATTTTATTTTTTTTATGCAACACTGAGATATTTTTACTGCAGATTTGTTCTCGGTTCCAGAACACTGCTTCTCTGCACGCAGGCACACAAGTCAGCTTGGAGATTCAAACTTCCAGACTGTAGCTTTGCCTATCAAGCTGGCTTTGACAGAGACAGATCTCAACCTTACCAAACAGAAGTTGTGGCGTAAATTCTGTCTTAGAAAAAAAAAAAACTTTGCAGGATTTCATCTCTGTAAAACCATAGAGTTTTTGATTCTCTGATCCATGTAAAAACAGCGCTGTGTCAGAAAACTTTATGTCTTTTGCAAAGCTAGACTCCTTTTTGCGAGCCAGCTTGTTTTTGTCTGTCCTTCATTCCAACAGCAACCTAGTCCCAGACCTGAGTACCCAAGGCTGCACCACCTCTATCTCCTCCATCCTGTTTTTCCTACCGTCCTTTTAGACCTCACCAATGCAACAGACAAAGTCATTGCTTCAGCAGGTGAGTACAAATGGAGCAGAAACTACCTAGGCTATAATATGGAGGGAGAAGTAGCCTTGAGAAACAATGGGGTGTAGTTGTGTGTAAAGGTAGCATGTGAGGTCCACCACACAGCAGCAATGGGAAATAAGATTCATTTTCCTCCTGAAAGAAGGTCCTGTCCAACCCCTGCTTTGCAAATAAAAGACCCACCAAGTTTCTTGCACATTTAGGCAACAAAAGGTCTGAGTTTGATTTCACGCATGTTTTACACCGGAGAAGTTGCCTAGTACATGCAGTTGTAAAGTCAGACTGAATATAACCTCAATCCAGTGGATGTTTTGACCAAGTAAAGTATGATTTCTTTTGGAAGAAACGTAATCATTTACTCTTCACCAATATTTTCTCTCCCTTTGCTGATGAACCAGTTGGAATTAATGATCTCCAGAAGGATGCATTTCACATCACTGTGACAACAACTGCAACCTCTGAAAAACAGCCAGGCTTTCTCTCGGTCAGCAAGCTGGGCCTGAAGTGGGCCATGATGAGTCAAGGTAGAATGGTGTGGCTAAAGGACAGCACCACTCCCAAAATCAGCCGTGGAGAAGTGAGGCGATTTCTTGCCCGGCTGAAATTTGTCGACTTTCCTCAGAAGGTGAGCTTGTGCAGACATCCCTAATGAAATCCAGGCCTTTGAAAACATAGTTGAAAACATGATCTCTTTCCTGCAGACACAGTTAGGTGCTCTTTGGGATGCAAAGAGACTGGTGGGATGCAAAGAAACTGTTAACAAGATGACTGGCATCCCCTTTGGGCATAAGCTGGACAGATTGTGAGGCCTAGTTGTACTTTGGCAGTTGGACAAGGAGGGGGATCTTAGAAAGAACGAGGGATAGTGATCCTAAGGGACTGACAAACTTGCAGAGGGAACAGAGAGGTGGGACAGAGATCACTTGTTTTGACATGGGCAAACAAGGGTCCTCCATATAGTGGTGCCCAGGTTCACTTCATAGAATCATAGAATCTTAAGGTTGGAAAAGACCTCTAAAATCATCAAGTCCAACCATCGACCCAACACCACCATGTCTACATAGAATCACAGAATCTTAAATGGCTGTTGCAATCTATGCTGTTCAATCAAATGCTGTTGAATCTTAAATTACAGTTGCTGACCTGTGAATTACCACTTTTCTCTACCAGACTGGATGATAATAGGGTTTGGCTTCAGTTTTTGTTTACCTTTCCTTCTCCAGCTCTAGCCTCGTGGTTCCTCATTTTGGTTGGACCTGTGACCTGTATGGGGAGTATGGGAAGCTGCTCTGTGGATCTTCAGGAAAACTGCTGTGTAGAAGGAATGGGGGCTAAAAGCACTTCCCCTTTCTTCAGCTCTCTGAGGAATGCTGCTGGAGGCAGGTTTGTCCTAGGCAGACCTGTGCTGTACCAGAGGAACCTTGTTCAGCGTCTCCCCCTCTATATGCTGTTCTTGCATGCCTCCTTCCAGGTAACGTGGAAATGTGAATTTAGAATTTATATACATATATATTTATATATATATAAAAAGCCAA